CTTATTCAATAAATGGGATAAAAAGCATTCTTGAAAACAAGTTTCAGGTTTGGGCTTGACTCTGATAGTCATTAGAGGTTGACTCTGCGTTTTGATCACAACATGAAATGGTGACCAAAGAAGATGACAGCTAGAGAAAACCGAAGAGGTGGGGTCTAGTAGGCAAGTAGGCCTGAGATGAGCAAAATCTAGATTGTTATGAGAGCATAATGAGGGAAGGTGCCATTGGAATCGTACCTGCTTCATGTCATCTTTGGTAATATAGTTCTTGCCCTCTGCCAAAGCTTGGAAAGCATTCTCTATTTCATCGCTGGTCTTGATGTTCTCTGATTCCTTGTCAATCAGGAATGAGGTATATTCTTCCAGTGAGACATAGCCCTTCCTGTCGGATAAAAGGATCAGGAACTGTGCCCTCTCAACACAGAGAAGAAACAGGTCTCATTCTCATTCTACTTGGTGTCACAGGGACAGAGGGAGGCTGGATTTTCCAAGTGCCTCTTCCAACTCAGCTCTCTAAGACCATGACCTATTTGACCATCGTTCTCCTCCCCTTACAGCCAAATAAACACTTCCCCCAATTCCAGCCTCTGTTTCCATATGGGCCTGACACACTATATAGAATTTCAGAATTTCCCATCAGCACCAGTACCCTGTATCTGGTTCCTCAAGCTCTTCAAGTTGATTTGAGGAACTCTATTTCTGGTCTTCTTTGGTTTTGGTATTAAAGAGAATTAGTCCCTAACCATAATGTGGTACCTCTATGATTCTACACCACCCTCACAAGCGTACAACAACCCCACTCCCACATATTAGTGATCCTTTCCTAAGACATTATACACATGAAGGGACTCTTCTGTCAAGTTCCATTCTCAGAACTAACAGAAATTCATGTCAAACATAAAGCAGGCATTAATCAAATTGCAGGACTGGTGCCTGAGTTGCAGTTAGTGCCATGAACTTCTGAGCTAATCCTGAAAGGGCCCCCAAAGCTGCCCCGTTCACTTATTGTCTCTGCCTCTGTCATTCCTATTCTCAAGATGAGTTCATGCCTATGGATTATTTTACTCTTGGTGCTCGTCCTGCAATGCCCCAGCCCCTGGTTTGGTCTGGCCTTGGTCTTCCTCCTACCTCCCTGGATCGACGACATCCAGGAATTTCTCGAACTTGGGCTCAGGTTCATCCTCCTCCACCATGGGCAGGTAGTAATTGAGTCCTCTCAGGCAGGACCGGAAATCTTTGTGACTCAAGCGCCCTGTCAAATTCTCATCAAAGTGTCTATAGAATAAAAACATTTTATCAAGTTCAGTAGAGAAGCATATTAACAACAGAAAAGAACAGTTTTGTTG